AAAAACACGATGGGGAAAAATATTTGGGGATCTTTTTACCTTTATATTTTTCTGTATTTTCCAAATTTCCTGCAATAATCCATGTCACCTATAATTTGGAAGGGAAAAACATAAACTAAAACCAAACGTTCATTACAAAGAAAAGGAAAGAGGTAAAAAACAATGTAAAGCAAACGGGATTCGTCCCGGCCCCCTCCCACGAAAACGAGCGGAGTGAGAGGCGGGTCGCCACAGTCCGCACCAATCAGAGCCCGGTTGACAGGCCGAATCAGGAGAATTTGGAGATTCTCCCCGCCCCGCATACGGCCTCAGGGTTAGCTTCCCATGCTAGCCTGGAAATCCGTCTGGACCTATCCTGCGCGCCGCTGCGGGCTGCTATTGGCTGTCTGGTAACCCCGCCCACCTTCTTGTTCATTGGCTGCCACGATTTACGTTGGAAGAGCCTGTTGCTGAGCGCAAAGCAGTGCTATAGCTTTCCCTGCAGAGATGGAACGATCACGGACGTAATGGGTGTCCTTGGGTCAAAAACTCAGCAATACTAACCACCTTTTTTATTCATTTCGCTAAATGCCAGGCTCCGTGCCCCAAACTTTTAAATATTAATGGTTATACCCATGTTTCTTGAACAGCCTCTGAGTTAGATACTTTAAAATAAGAACAGTAGTTAACAACATAAGTAATAAGAGTTTATTGAGCACTTAATCTGCATCAAGCCTCGTTAAGGGATTTGTATGCATTAGCTCCCATCCCCATAACAGCCCCTGCGGAAGTAAACTTGGTTGCCCCATTTTACACAGCTGGAAACAGGTTCAGAGAAGTGAGGGTCCTGGATAGTGACAAGGGCTGGCGCAGTGTTCCAGGGATAGGCCTCAGGGTGACTGAGAGTGAGATGGCAGAGAAGAGAGGGGAAAAGAGAGAGAGAACATCAGAGCAGGCAGTCCTTTTTGGAAATGGGGCAGCCTCTATGGTGCAAGTGGCTCTGGAGTAGGGGCCTGGACCCCCCAGGTTCCAGTCTCTGACCTGAAACCTACTTTCTGGAGGACCTGAGGCAAATGCCTTCTTCTCTCTGAACCTCAGGCTTTCTTCCTGTCAGATCAAAAAGTAAGACAAAACAACGTAAGTATAGTCAGGCTGGGAGGTCTTTTGGAAATTTGGTCCTTGCTGACAGCAGCGGAATCCTCAGAAATCACGTGATCTTTACTTGGCTGTTGCCTGCATTTTTTGTTTTTTTCAGGACTTTCGGGTGGTGACATGGGACCTGACAATCCTATAAACTCAAAAACGGTTTGGTGGCGGTGCTCAATCCACGTCTCTTCCCAGTCCGTTCTGAGCTGTAAGCAGGGCTCTGCCTGCAGGGGGCGCTAGGGGCTCACTAAGCTGGCAAAGCCAAACCGGAATTCTTAGTGAATTATCTATCCAAAATGGTCAATTTTTCTATTTTATTTATTAAAAAGGGTGAGCTCTTTGAAACCTGAAGGTTCTGTCCTCAGTATTCATTCGAGGAAACCGAATTATAAGCACTGCCCAACTCCAGTCCTCTCCACAGTGACTCTGGAGGGTTAGAGCTAATTTCAACTCCTTTGTTTGACGGATGAGGAAACAAGATTCTAAGATCTGGAAAACTCACTTTGGTTCACATAGCTAAAAACTAGCACCCTGACTCCTGGGCAATGCTCTTCGGAGATAGATGGCCCCATAGTTGTCCTGCCGCCTAATGTACAACTCCAGGGAACGATTTCAATTTTGGTTGTATAGCTTGAGAGCTCAGATGGTGTCAGCTGGAGAGACCTCCCTCAGCACCCAGCACAAGGACTGCTTAATGAGTAATTAAATGAATGAGTATGTGAATAGCCAAGGAGGGTGGTCTGCTTTGGCTTTATCAAACTTGTTGTATTTGGGCTGCTTTCCTGAAAACTCCCTGAAGGCAGAAATTGCATTTTGAGATGGGAGGGGGTAGTGTGGTTTACAGCTGGGGTGATAAATCTCAGTCCTAAATTGTGGTCAGGATATGATATAGAAAAGTGATCCCAGAATTTGGTATTAGCAAGTCAATTCAGGAGGAATGAATATAGAACAGATGAGAATCCCATTAGGGTTAAAATATATGAGAGGGTCTGAAGCTGAAGAAATATCAAACACATTTCAAATCCAATCTAGAAGTATCTTCAGGACTGGAATGTGATTGAGGAATAATAAAAAAAAAGAGCTTTGGCAAATCAGTGACCTCAACATAGCTGATGCAAGAGTTGAGAGAGTAGGGCAACAGGAGGTGGAGATCTTTACTGAACCAAAAATGTAAGGCGTGGGGGAGGGAAGGAATAAACCCAGTTTGTGTGGTCAGGCCATGTCCCGCTGGCTGGAAGCTTCACTGCTGGATTTCCGGAGCCCAGCACTGTGCCTGGTACATACTAGATGGCCAATAAATGTTTACTGGATGAAAGAGACAGGGAAGAAGCCAGAGCCCTGGCCAGCATGTTAGCTCTGAGTGGAGCCAGTTCCATGACTCATCTTTTCACTGGCTCCTTTTGCTCTGTTTCCAGCTAACTTCACCACCTTCCCATGATAAGTTGGCTTTTCTTTGAGGCTGTCCTATGAAGAGGGATGTGCTGGCCCATCAGTTACAGGCTACCTGACAATTATGCTTCTCACACCCAATTAATATATTGGAATTCTGCTTTTTGCATTAGTTCCTTGTGCCTTATTCAACATATTACTAAGCTTTCTGATCTAGGTCAACATACCTCTTGAGCTTCGGTTTTCTCACCTGTCAAATGGGGGCATAAAACATACTTTACCAGGTTGTTCGAGTTCAATAAATGGCAGTGTCTGTGCCTCTTTCGAGTGCTCCTTCCTTGGAGACTGGGGTCACAAAAGCTCACCCAATTGAGAATATTAGCACCTCTTGCTTTTTCCTTTTCACAGAACTACTAACTTTGTATGCGAAGCCTTGGGGAATGACTTAGTCACATCATTGAAGATTCTAAAGGGTTATTCTGTGGAGGAGAATAATTCATATTCATTCACTCAAAAATATTTATTGAGGACCCACTACTAGTGGGGAATAGACACAGTTCCTGCCTTAGAGGAGCTCTGACACAGCCTAGTGCAGTCAAAAGAAGATCCTGTGTGACCGTGACATGACGCTTTACATTTCTGAGCTCGTTTCATCACTTTGCAAAAGTGGTCAATAATATATTCCATTTTTAATTGGAGGGAAAGGGGTAAGACATGCAGCCATAATAACAAGGCTGCATCAAATTTGAAGACTAGTGGTATAAAGAGGTATATAGAAAAAACATGTTGAGTTGTTAAGGCGTTAGATTATTTTCAGCTGATCTGAAGAAGTAACACTTTCCATGGGAAGTGGCATTTTGAAGCCTTTATTCAGGCCACAACCATAAATGAAGGCATTAAATGCTGGGTAGGATTTCAGTGGGCAGAGATTTGCAGAGGGAACTATTGGAGGAAAGGCTTGAAGGCGAGATAAGCAACATCGGTGTGGCAGGTAATAAGTCTGGAAAGATAAATTGAGGCAGATCTTGGCAGATTCTGAATCTCAATCTAGGGGTTTGGCCTTTATTCTGCAGCTGATGAAATACCAGTAACATTTTTTAATCCAAATTATTGACTTTACAGAGTAGATTTAAAAAATGAAAACTGAATCTGACATAGGGTGATTTAGAGGGAAATTCAATCAAAGTAAGATTCAGTCACCAAGGGCATATTATTGTTAGGGCACACTAGGTGGCATAGGGCAGGAGACAAAGATGTCAAAATGTGAACTCTGCCCTCAAGCTTATAGCCAAAAGAGTGAGATAAGACATGTACACAGAAAATTGCAATACAGTGTATAATATGATAAGTATTATAATGGAGCCTCAGCTCAACTGCCCTGGAAGCTCAGCAGAAGGTGAGATTAAGTTCCTTCTCCCAAGAGGCTGGACACAGGAAACCCAGTCAGAGGGGCATCTTTGGAATAGTAAACCTGAATTTATAAAGTCTCAAAGGGAACCTTGGGGGTCATCTAATCCACCTTCCTTCCTGACAGAATTCTCTATTCTGAGTAAACAATGACTTTAAAATTGAAACAAGTGTAGCTCTAAAGAAAAACCTTGAGGGAAGAGGATGTGAGAAGTGGACAGAAGATGAATTCAGCCTTGAAGTGCTGATGGGCTGGTGGAAGTAACTTATTGTAAATGAGGTGTGGAAGGGCAGGAAATGGGTGAGATCAGGAGAGTGAGTCTGGAGAGAGGAGGGATAAAAACAGAAACTAGGGTAACACCCACTGTCCAGGGAGTGGGAGGAGAAAGAAGAGTCAGAGAAGGAATGGTCAGAGAGAGGTGTGAGAAAAGACCCAATAGAACACCTTGTCACAAAGTTTCTAGAAATGGACTGGCAGGGATGGAAGACAGGACCAGGGGCCGAAGCAGAAGGGGTAAACTGCAACAACAGGGACTGAAGTTAGACATGAAGTTGCCAAGGACATTTCAATGAATGATGTCTTTTCCAAAGACTCCACGAATTAGGTGGATTCTTTGTGTCTGGTACATTTTAAGGTGGAGCTATTTCGGAGGCCAGGGGAACAGGGTCGTGCCCTCTGATCTCCAAAGATCTGAAGTTCAGCTCTGTAATTAGCACCACCTCTCATAACCTTAACCAGTACCTGCAAGAACTGAAAAGCTGGAGAACATACTTAAGAGGGATCGCACGCCCGGCTCTCCCGCCCAGCCCAGTGAAGTCCCGTTTCGTCACGCAGCCCTATGACTCTCTAGGTTGTCACTCTCGTCTGGTATTGCCAACAATCTGACTAAACCCCTTTTGCAAAAGTTCGCAGCATTCGTCCGGGGCTGACTACAGCTCCCAGAGTTCCCGGATGCTTTCCAGTGCGGATTGGCCTAGCATTCCGCTCCAGAGGGAGGTGTCACCCCCGCCCCTCCGGGAAACAGGCGTCTGATTGGCTGCGGTGCGGGGCTTTTGTGTCCCCGCCCTCCCCTGGGGACCGCAGCGGGCTGAGCAGCGCTGCTGGTGTCAGAGCTTTCCGAGCGCTGGCAGTTCCGCGGCGGGGATGCTGAGGCGCGTTGGGTCGGTGAGCAGCCCGGGCCACTGCGGACTTCCGAGGCGCTCCGGGCCGTGAAAACCCCTGCGCCGCGACCAACCCCAGGTTCCCGAGGCCATTCACCGCTCCAGAAGCCGGACGAGGGGAGCGTCCCGCACAGCAGCGGCTGTTCCTGGATTCTGGGCTTTGGGAGCGTTCTAGAACCCGAGAGACACCTCCGGGCTCTGGAACCTCCCCCGCGGCCCCCAGCCCCGGCTGGCCGCTGGCGTCCGTCCCAAACCCCCTGAGGTGCACGGGTCTTGGACGAGCTGCAGCTGGGTCCTGGCGCACACCATGATCGTTGCAGACTCGGAGTGCCGCGCGGAGCTTCAGGGCTACCTGCGGTTCGCCAGGGGCGGCGGCGGCGGCCCTGGGGCCGGAGAGGTAAACCGGGGCCGTGCGACGCCGCTCTTTCCTACAGCCTGGAGCTGCGTCTGAGCTTTGGGCTGTCCGCTGCTGGGTCCGTGCGCCCCCCTCAACCCCCGGGCTTGGGGAGGAGGAGTAGAGCGTGAAACCTAGAAGTGGAGTTGCATCAACTGGCGGCCTCGGCTCCCTCTTCGTCCCCTCCCCCTCCCCCCGGGGCTGTGGAGCGCTCTAAGGCTCGGACTCCTGGCCAATGAGAAGGGAGCCTTCTCGAGGTTATCTTGGATTTGGGCTCCTGTGGAGAGAATCTTCAAGTCCAGACAAATCCCGGCCGCTGCGGCCCGATCACTCCTCTTCCCCGCCCCCTTCCGCAGATTCCCTCTTTCTAGGCTGGGGCTGGCGGGCAGAGGACCCTTCCTAGGATATGTCCCAGCTCAGGGTTTGGATCACCTGGGACTGTCCAGCGAAGGTCGGTCTTGTCCCCCGCCCCTCGCACCTCGGATTTGGGGGCGGGGCGCGGGCCCTCCGGGGACTTGGCAGTCTGCCGGGTACGCGGCGACCGCGGCCAAAGTTGGGGGGGAGAAGGGGGAATCTTGGCCGCGGCTTCAATTAGGCTGCGCCCTACTAAGTAGTCAGGCCTCAAAAGTTTGTTTCGCAGGGACTCTTTGCAGTGAGGCTAGAGATAAGGCTGGGCCTAATCAGACACCCCCTGCCCCCATCCCCATCATCACTGATAAAGGACATCTTATCTTTTATTAAGCACCTACTAGGTGCCGGGTTCCGGTTTTTTGCCTTTTCTCCTGAGTCCTCATGACTCAACTAGCAAAATAGGATGAACTATATCATATCCAGGAAAGGCCGTGGAGAGGCTTCCTTCAACTAATCCTACCAGCTATCTCTTTCTATGGCCTACCCAGGATTTGTCTCTAGGATTTCCTAGTGTGCACGGCGCTACAGGGACTTTTGCTTGTTTTAGTTCCCAGACCTGGAGCATGCTTGTAATGCTGGGTTTGGGAGTCAGACAAGTGCTAGCCCTAAGCTGTGTGACCCTGGGAAAATCACTGCCCTTCCCTGAGCTGTGTTGTGTGGTTTCTGGGAGTCCTACCTCCATCCCTGGATGGTTTGCCTCCTGGGTTTTCTGTTAGCCTGTTTACCCTTCCCCACCATGGCATAGGAGCTCCATATGAAGGAATGAACCCCATTCTTGCCACGTCTCAGCTGTGTGACTTTGACCAAGTCATTTTGCTCTCTGAGTCTGTTTCCTTTGCTGGAGAAGGGGGGTGGGGATGAAAATGCTGTTATTGAAAGCACCTGGGTACTAGAGCAGGCGAGTGCTGGATTCAGGTCCCAGCCCATTTGCTCACTTGCTCTTAGCCAAGTGATCACTTCTCTGACCTGCAGCTTATTTAATCTTTAATTAAATAAAATCAGATTTAATTATTAAATGGAGATTTAACAATATGTCTGAGGATTGTTGGGAGAATTGACTGAGAAAATACAAGCAAAGGCCCAAGCACAGTACCTGGGAACATAGTAACTGTGTCAAACATGCTGAATATTATTAGAGTGTGGCCATAGCACACATTCCCCTTTCCCCCTGAGTGTCTCACAAGGGGGTGCCTGAGCCCTTCCTCCTGCTTCAAGGGAGAGTTGGTCCATCCTGGTCCGGGGCAGTGTCTGGGGAGGTCCTGAGGGAGTGGCCTTTAGAGGGAAGCCACTTGTCAGCAGCTGGGAAAGCTGGTGATACCTGAACCCTTTCTGCATCTTCTCAAGAAAAGAGGACCTTGGGAAGATGCTTGCTGTAAGCAGAGTTCTCAGAAGATAGCGGGTTACTGAATGTAAAGAGCCTGATGCCCATGGCCTAAGGGAAGCCTCCCAGATGTACAGTCCACTCAACTCTTGCCCTTTCAAGGGGTCAAGGTCTTCAGACACTTCCGTCTAGTACTGGTAGCATGTTGTTAGAGCCCTGTTGGGCGCTAGAATCACTTCCTCTGGGAGGCCTTTCCTCCCCTACCAGACCTGTCCTTTCTGCAGACCTGCTTCCAGTCCCCTTTCACACTGAAGGGGCTTTTATCTCAATTACAGTGTAACCAGTATGTAATTGGGTATTTCTCTCCTTTGCTAGACTAGAACACTCTGTAGGTTGCCTCACCAGCACTGTTCTTAGCACCTTATAAATGCTCAAAACTATTTGCTGCTTGTTGGCTTAGCTGACCATTGTGAACTGTGCAGGTTTTGAAGTCAGAGCTGACCTGTGCCTGTCATATAGGACTCAAGAAGAGCCTCAGTGAACTGTCTTCTGCAGAAGGGGTAGTAAGACCCATCTGCCTCCGGGTGGTTGTGAAAAATCATCCGGATCAGATGTGTAAAGCACTTCGTACCAGCCCATGGTGGGCATACAAGTTTATGGGACCATTCACATCCCCCACCTCCCAAGGCTGAAGGTCAGAGTCTACTTGAGCTATGTCTCCCTCTCATGTGTAAACCCAGGCAACTATCTGAGTTCAGCCGACCACAGCTGCCCCCAGGGGAGGAATGGGAGGGCAGTCTGTGCCCCTTCCCAGCTGGCAGAGTGACTTTCCAGGTGTCTGTAGCTGGGTCCTGGGGGTTGTAGACTCTGGATTGGGTACCAACAAGAGCAAAGGCTGGGGCTACCCCAAGAGGCTGAGGTGGGTGGTGGACAGAACCCTTGAAAGCCAGACTGAGCTGAGTTCAAATCTCAGATTGGCCACTTGTCAGCTGGTGCTTAACCTTTGGAACCTTAATTTTTCCTTGCATGCAAAATAGAGACATCTCCCCCTCCTCACCCCAAAACTGATGAAGATTAGATGGAACCTGTGTGCCAATGCCTGAGCCAATATAAAAATGTTTAGTGAGTGTTTAAATTGGAAGCCAGACACTGAGCTCTGAGATGATTAGCTTTGTTTTACAACTAGCCTGAAGCCGTCCCTGTTAAGTGACCACTCAGAGGGGTGGCTGACTTCAGTGTTCTTATTGCCCTGTGCTGTCCCCTCAGTTGGAACTGTAGAAACAGCCACCATTAATTAGTCTTCCCTCTGCCCCATACTAGCAATGTTACCTTGGCTAAGTCACCTGCCTCCCCTGGTTTCCCTTTCTGCATCTGGAGAGTGAAGATGAGGGTCTTAATAACAGGTGTCCAATATGGTAGCCCTTAGCTACATGTGGCTATTTGAATTTAGATAAATTATTGTTTTTAATTTAAAAATTCAGTTTTTTAGTTAACACTACTCACATTTCAGATGCTCATCCACTGTGGCTAGAGGGTACTGTCTTTGTAGGCCAGTACAGATGCAGAATATTCCACCATTGCAGAAAGTTCTGGTGGACTGTGCTGTCCTAGACACTGGGATAGCAGCAGGGACCCAGATCCAGTGTATGCCCTTCAGATGAGGGACAGCACAGTGTGACAGGTGCTGGGATTGGAGACTGTGGATCTCCAGGGATGTGTGCAGGGAGAAGCATCTCACTCCTGGTGAACCCCAGATGCAAAGTGTTGGGGCTATTGAAACCTTGAGAAGTTCAGAGAATAAGAATCATTTCTGCTGTTGCAGAAACCTGGTTTGTATCCCAGCTCTGCTACCTCCTTCCTGGCTGAGTGACCTGAATGTGGTTTGACGTTTCTGAGCATTATTCCTTATCTGTAAAATGAGAGCCCTAGTACTTGTACTTCCTACCTTAAAGTGCATGTGAAGTAAATGCTTAGCTAATGGTAATCAGTGCTGTTACCTACCATTATTATTCTTGACATCCTAGCCCAAGGAATAGGGGTGGGGCTAATTTGAGGCATCATCTCTAGTCAGTGGCACCCTGCCCCAAATTCTGGGTGTCAAGGTCAAGGATGCATTCAGGGTATTGTAGCTCTGGATTAAAGTTTACTTGGTCTTGCTGTAAGGGCCTTACATTTCCGTTTCTCTGCCTGGAATGCTTGGTCCCCTGGATCTTTACAGGCCTGCTGCCCTGTCATCAGCTCACTTAGCTATTTGGTATTTAGATATCAACTCAAGGGTTGTCTCCTCAGTGGCTACCCCTTGTCTACTCGGACTAAAATATTGCATACACACCCCACTACATTATACATTCTCTCATTGCTCTGCTTCATTTATTTCATATAATCTGTTTTGAAATCCTGTTCATCATTGTGTGACTTTCTTCATTAGATGGTAAATTCTGTGAAGCCTGACACTTTTTTTCACTTCTGTGCTCCTGCTGCCTGCAGTGTAGTCATCAAAAATACTTGTGGAGTGAACAGATTAATTCTTCTTCCACCTGAAAAGCTCACAGCACAGTACCTTAGACTTGAGAAAGTGACCAATAAATGGTGTGAAAAGTGGCCCACCACCCTGGCTATAAATTGGGCTGGGTCCCGCCCAATAAAGTTAAAACTGTTGGAGGTGGGACCTTGACATTGGCATTTTTAAAAAGCTTCTCAAAGGGATTCTAATGTACTGCTTGGGATGAGAAGCCTTGTTTGAAGAACAGTGAGGTTAATGATAGCTGACGTTTATTAAGTGCTTACTGTGATGGAGGCACTGAGGTTAGGGCTGCACAGGCAGTATCTCATGAAGTCCGAATGAGGACCCGTGAAAGTGGGTATCCCCATTAGTTGGTGAGGAAACTGAGGCTTACATAGCTAGCAAATATAGTTGATGGAGTTGTCACTTAAGCCCAGACAGTTTGTGTCAAGAGCCCCCAATCTTTTAACTGTCGTCTTAGTAGTAGTAGTAGTAGTAGTAGTATCATCATCATTAGGACTGAGAATATTGGTGGATCCAGATGAGTCACAGATGCACAGGTATCAGTTCCTTCCCTTGACAGCTCCTGGGGCAGATTTAGAGTGAGAAGGGAGCCCCAAGGCTGTTCCCTGGGCCACCCAGCACCCTGGTGTGCCCTCCCCTTTTCTGTCACTACACCAGTTCTGCCCCTCCCTTTCCGCTCCCCCAACCTGGCTGTGGTTTTCTGTCTGTCCTCAGGTCCCCCAAGAGGGAGGCCCAGTTTGTAGAGTCAGCAGTCCTTATCTCCAGACAGAGCTGTTAGGCTTTTTCTCTGTGGTGAGGGAGGAGGGAGGCTGAGACGGAAGTGCTTGGGGACTACAGTGGTTTCTGTGCTGGACTTGGACCAGCCTGGCCTGATAGCACCCAGAAGTGTGGACTAAATTGGGCCTAACTACCTTCTTTGTCCAAGATTAAGGCCCAGAGAGTCTCCATCTTGGTTACTTTCTCAGAGTCACACAGCAAGTTAGTGGCTGAACTGGTACTCACACTGGGGACTTCCAGGTCCCTTTTTGTTCTTAATGGTCTGTTAGAGTCCTAGAGCTCTGCCTCCCTCAGGGGGCTTTGGGCCACCTGAGAAGGAAAGTTCAGTTATAATTTTCAATCCCTGGACACATGGGATTGGTACTAAATCTGGATTTTAGCAAAGAGGGGAGAGAGAGGGGAACACTGTCCAGTGACAGCATGATCTGGTTTGGGTACTGTTAACAAGGCCAGTGCTGAGGGCTCCCCTCCCAGTTATCAAAACAAACGAATAAGTAAAACATCCTCCCTGAACCCCACCTCCAGGACTAGAAGCAGAATTAACAAGTACATGACTCTGGTGGTTTCCAAAGAGGCTCCAATAAATACGTGCATGTCAGACTGGCTGCTACCATCACCCTTTTACACCCTGCCCTGATTTCCTCCATGCCTCTCTATTTTCTTCATTCATGGACTAGTATGAATGACTTAGCCCTGCTCGCCACAAAATGTGATCTGGTGGTAGGGAGGCCGACATCTGACAATTAGAAGACAATGCCATTAGAAGTAAAAGCACTGGGAATTGTGGGTTCACAGATGAAGGTCAGAAGAGGGTTCCTAGACCTTGGAAGACTAGTTAGCACTGCAAAAGGAGTGACCGTGGGAACGCGCTGGGCCTGACCACTAATTTGTCTGGAAGGCTGTGGGATATTGAGGCAGGGTTTTGTCAGTTGATCAGATTAGCACTTGAGAAAATTTACTCTGGCTGCAGAAAATTTGCCCTCTTCAGGAGCTATCAGGGTTATGTATTCACTAAATCTGCTCCTAGTGCTAAAGGTGGGGTTCAGGGACAATGTTTCATTTATTCACCTGTTTTGTTAACTCTAGTAGAGAATCGATAGGAGAGGGCAGGCCTGCAGAAGCAGAGAGATCATCTGTGAGGCTGTGAGTGGTGGTCTGAGGAGTTGATGGCGGGAAGAATGAACAAGTGACAATTGGAGAGAGATTGCAGCTGCATCCTAGGAACCTGGGGGACTTGATAAGCATGTGGCTTTGGGATACAAACAAGGGATTTCTTCGTGGGTTCTTCAGGGCTGCCATAACGTGGCCTCCTAGGGATTAACAGCGTGGTGGCTGCATATGCCCCTTCTTCAGGCCCTTCCCACCCAATCCTGGGACTCCTGGGTCTTTGCTCTGTTCTGAAGACCTCTGCCTGTGGGGTGTACCCTCTTTTTGCTTACCCTTCCTCCACTTGCTAAACAGGTATATATCTCCCACCTGACTCCTGCATGCAAGGTGCACCAGAAAGGTGGTTTTAATAGCTCAGAGTGGCCCCATGAGTAGGATGAGAAAACTAGAGATAACTATCCTCTTAGTCCTCCCTTTTACTTCCAGCTAACTGTGATGCATTTCCTTCTAGGAGCAGGGGGAGAGCCGGGCTCGGCGAGGTCCTCGAGGACCAAGCGCCTTCATCCCGGTGGAGGAGGTAAGTTTGAAAGGGGTCAGGATTTGTCCAGTCCTGGGAAGAAAGGACATGGGGCATTGGGTAGGTGAGGCCGTCTTCCTGTCTCTTGAAATAGCAGCTTGAAACTACCCCCTCAGGTTCCTGGCTTATTTAATCCACACAACAGGCCCTATGAAATGAGCATGTCAACCCCATTTTGTTGGGAAGAAACAGGCTCACAGAGCTAAGGTGATAATAGCACAGCTGGTAATGAACAAACTTTTGATTCCCAGAATGAGGCTTGTTTTTCCTTAAGAAGGTGAAACTATCAATGTTTATCTTCTCATTCTTGACTGTGCACGTACTAGTTTTTTTCAACTTCTAAAGGAGTATATATTTATAATAAGAAAATTCCCAACATTTTTTCAGAAAGCTCTGGTCTCTTGTAATCTTACCCCGCAGAGAGGTAATAACTGTTACTTTACCATTTGCCACTGTTTTCGGGCTTTTTTTCATGCAGAATCAAGGTCATAGTTTTGTTGTGGGTTTTTGTTGTTTTTTGGAGGTGGTTCTGTTTTGTTCTGTTTTTCTCAATACAACTCATTTACTGAGTCAGGTCATTCATTCATTTAACAGCTATGTGTTGAATGATTCATTCATCATGTATGTCTGTAGCCCTGAGCGCACTGCTCTAGGTGCTGGGGATATAGCTGAGAACAAGACAGACAAAAACCCTTGCCATCATGGAACTGACATTGTAGCGTGCGCTTGAAGAGGGATATCGCCAAAACAAATGCAGAGAAAAATTTTTTAATTTTAATGTTTCTTTTTTCTTTGGCCTTTGGTGAACAAAAGCAAATGTTTTGTTTCCTTGTCCTCTTTGCTCCCCAAATGTGTAGGCCAAGTAATTGATGAGATGTTAACAAATGTCTAAACCCTCCACCCTTTATAAATGGAAAGTAGCCACCCACCCACTGACTATGTCTGTCTGTCAACCAGAATTTTAAGCTCAAGTATGGTTCTTATATTTTATTTTTTCATTTATAAATTACCACTCCTCTTCGATAATAAAATAAGTAGGCTTTGGGGTTAATCTGGATTTGAACCCTGGTTCTGTCATTTATGAGGTCTGTAACCTTGAGCAAGGATTGAAACCTCTGTGGGCCTCAGTTGCCTCATCTGTCAGTGGGGGAAAATAATAATACTCATTTCATAGGATAATTGGGACGATTCAGTGAGATAATGCAAGGAAAGCTTAAAACTCAGACCTGTCATGGAAAAAGCACTCAGAAAATGGGAACTATTTTGTGCCCACCTCCCATGGCTGTATGGATTTGCACTGTTAGAATAGAAGCTCCATAAAGGCAGAAGAAATTATACTTTAGTCTCTGTGCCTGCATTTTCCTATCTAAAAATGGAGAAAATAGAACTCTAATAATTTCATAGTTGTGAGGATTAAATGAGTTAATTTATATGTAACGTAGTTGAAGAGTGCTTGACATGTAGTAAGCATTATGTAAGTACTGGCTATTATAAGGTAGCTAATAAGTTTTTGTTTAACCACTTGATGAAATATCTTTTCCTTCCCTATTCTTTTTTTGGACATGGTGGTGGTTTTCAATTCCGTGCTCTTAAAATCCCACTGCAGTGAATATGTTGGTCTTCTTGGTGGGGAGGACAGGACAGGACGGGACCCAGTCTCTCCTCACCTTCACTTGGCAGGTCCTTCGGGAAGGAGCTGAGAGCCTCGAGCAGCATCTGGGGCTGGAGGCGTTGATGTCCTCAGGACGGGTGGACAACCTGGCAGTGGTGATGGGCCTGCACCCTGACTACCTTAGCAGCTTTTGGCGCCTGCATTACCAGCTGCTGCACACAGATGGGCCCCTGGCCAGCTCCTGGCGCCACTACATTGCCATCATGGTGAGCCTGTCTGCCCCCAACTCTTGCTTCCTGCCTCTCAGGCAACAGTGAGGCCTGTGAGGTCTATCCTCCTGGGGTACCCACCCTGAGCAGGGCACAGAAAGAAGAGGGTGACCTGGGTCCTGTCCACCACCACCACAGGCTGCTGCCCGCCACCAGTGTTCCTACCTGGTGGGCTCCCACATGGCTGAGTTTCTGCAGACTGGTGGTGACCCTGAATGGCTGCTTGGCCTCCATCGCGCCCCCGAGAAGCTGCGCAAGCTCAGTGAGATCAACAAGCTGCTGGCACATCGGCCGTGGCTCATCACCAAGGAGCATATCCAGGTGCAGTGGGCAGAGAGGCAGCTCCCCAGGGAAGCCCTGGGGCTGGGCCCGGCTGGGCATGGCAGGCAGCCCAGGAGCAGGCACTGAACAAGTCTGGTCCTCTTTCCTCTCCAGGCCTTGCTGAAGACAGGCGAGCACAGCTGGTCCCTGGCTGAGCTCATCCAGGCCCTGGTCCTGCTCACCCACTGCCACTCGCTGGCCTCGTTCGTGTTTGGCTGTGGCATCCTCCCTGAGGGGGACCCAGAGGGCAGCCCTGCCCCCCAGGCACCTTCGCCCCCCAGTGGGCAGAGCAGCCCCCCCAGCAGGGACCCACTGAACAACTCTGGGGTAAGTCCTGGGCCTGGATCTTAGCGGGAGAGGAAGCTGGCGTGGCGTTTGGTCCTTAGGTAGAAGCCACTACTCTGTCTCACACTGAAAGGCCTTAGAAAAGTTGGCTTTGAAGCTTAGTTTCCTCATCTGAGAAATGAGGATAAAGACCATTACTTCATAGTGGGTGGTGAGGATTAAATGAAATAACCCTGTGGCCAGCCTCTCAGCATATAACCTGTTGGCTTCAAGTCTGGTTTTTAGCACTTTGAAAATACAAAATTCTCCTATAAAATGGCCTTGTTTATTTTAGTATAAAAATGCAGGTACCTTAAAACTCTCTTACCTGGGGAGGAAGCTGATGCTCAGAGAAGACATGTCTATTCTGTAGCATCTTGAATTTCACTTTGGGAAGCACCTGTGAGTGGCCAGCACAGTGGCTGGCCTTTGTGGTCATTCAGGAAGGTTGGGCATGGGGGAAAGATGTGTGTGGTTTCCTGGGGCTGAGGGAGGAGGAGTACATGGTCACCTCTGAATCCTTCCTCCAGGGCTTTGAGGCCGCCCAGGATGTCGAAGTGCTAATGGAACGCATGAGGCAGCTGCAGGAAAGCCTGTTGTGGGATGAAGGAGCATCCCAGGAAGAGATGGAGAGCCGCTTTGAGCTGGAGAAGTCGGAGAGCCTGCTGGTGACCCCCTCAGGTGCGGGATCACAGGCATCCAGGTGCCGGATCACAGGCATCCAGGTGCCAGAGGCAGCCCGCCTCTTACACCATCTCTGCTGGGGAGCAGGCACTCCATGCACTGCACCTCTTGTATTTTGGAAGTGGCCACATCTCAACCTCCCTTTCCAAGAGGTTCTGATTTGGGGTCAGAACTGGATTTGAACCCTGGCCTCTTAGCATTTCTGGCTGTGTAACCACCAATAAGGTCACTTCCTGTCTCAAGACCTAAGTCTCCTCCCATGTGAAGGATCGATTTGTAGTGTAAATGGGACGACAGAAGCAAAGCTCTTAGAGAACCTGGCCCTGGGGAGCAGCTCCATAAATAACTGCTGCTAGTGTGATTGTTGCTGTTTACTGGGAGCTGCCTCAGGTCCATGGACCTGATTCACCTCCTGCAGGCCTGGCTTCAGCTAGTGCCCTGATTTCACTCACTCAGTGAAGGGCTTTCTCTGGGCTCCCCAGCCACCTACTCGTGATTGATCAGGAGTGGAGGCCTCTGCTCCATGCCTTGGCTTCACTATGACCTCTTTCTGGCATTTTTAGCTGACTTCCTGGAGCCCTCTCCACACCCAGACATGCTGTGCTTCGTAGAAGACCCCACTTTTGGATATGAGGACTTCACCCGGCGAGGGGTTCAGGCACCCCCCACCTTCCGTGCCCAGGTAGGCTCTCCCCACTAGTTTTGGCATTGCTCCAGATTTATAAATAAGCATGGGGTAGATGGTTTGAGGGATTAGACAGTTGGCCGCTTTCTCTCCCTCCAGATTCCTTGAGGGAAGTGGGAGACCCTAGATCATGAAGGGACCCGTCTGTGCCAAAAGTCAGGGGATCCTGATCATGGGGGGAAGGCCATCCCCAAGGTGCATCCTCCTCAGCTTCTCAGGCCCAGACCACGCAGCTGGGTTAGATTTGGGGAATGGGGAACAGCTGTTATGGAGAGCCAAACAGGGGTCTCTCTTGCCAGTCGTGGGCCCCAAAGTTGCTTCTCCCTGATCCCTGCCCACATTTCTCAGGATTATACCTGGGAAGACCATGGCTATTCACTGATCCAGCGGCTCTACCCGGAAGGTGGGCAGCTGCTGGATGAGAAGTTCCAGGCAGCCTATAGCCTCACCTACAACACCATCGCCATGCACAGCGGAGTAGACACCTCCATGCTCCGCAGGGCCATCTGGAACTACATCCATTGCGTCTTTGGCATCAGGTGAGCACCTGGCTCCTCATCCAGGGCAGGTGTGGCCTGCAAAGCCTTGATCTAATCTCACAGTTGCTTTCCTTTTCTGTTTTTCCTTTTCCTTTCTCCCTGCTTTTATTGTTTCTCAAAGCAAATTCATTTCTTTGCTGGTTATAAAAGGTAATAGATGTGCTCACTGTTTGAACCTTGTGAATGATATTCTTTAATCCCACCCACTATAGATAACTATGTGTGTGTGTATATATAAGTAAAGAAATTTACGTTTGTATCTCCATTCCAAGTAGTAGTTCTTTGCTGCTAATAAGTAAGGACAACATAAATGCCTATCAGTAGAGGACTTTAAATAATGTTATTATATTCATTCAGTGAAGTATTAGGCAGCTATTAAAGATGATAATATGGTCTATTTATTTTGCCATGAATGTATTGAGGGTAAAGAAAGCTTTTTATCCACCAGAATCTTGTTTTTGTTCTCTCTCTCTCTCTATATTAGGCAGCTATTAAAGATGATAATATGGTCTATTTATTTTGCCATGAATGTATTGAGGGTAAAGAAAGCTTTTTATCCACCAGAATCTTGTTTTTGTTCTCTCTCTCTCTCTCTCTTGCTGTACACTGAAGTGTTATTTAATAGTGGTTGTCACTATAGTATGTAATGAATTACATTTTCATCTTATTACCTAAGTATTTATTTAATTTTTTTTCAGTAGTTTTCTTTTTTAATTGATGGTATCATACTTGGTATATTCTGCAATTTGCTTTTTTCACCTAATAATCTGTTATGAACCACTCTCCTTGTCAGTATGCTTTCTAACCTGCACGGTGTTCTGTTATATTATTCAGCCATTTCCATATTGTTGGATATTTAAGTGGTTTGCAATTTCTCACTATTACAAACACCATCTGCACTGACTACTCATATACCTAAGTTCTTATAGATAAATCCTAGATATTTCTTTACATTTCTATTACTTACATTTTCTATTATATATATTTCCATATTTATATTATTTACTTACATTATTTATAAATTCCTTGCCAGGAATATACACAGAACAATTTCTTTTTATTTAATAAAATCTCATTCTGATAACATTGTGGGAAATTAAGGAAAAAAAGCAATTTCCCCAAATTCTTCTATTCCACACCAGACTCACATCCTGTGATATTTTTCTCCATTTCTTTTTTATTTCTCACATAGTTGCATTTGTATAGTTGAAATTATGGTTATTTTATTTTTAAAAATATATTTTTGACATTGGTAAAGAGAAACAACCAGATTTATAGTAAATTGAGCCTACACAGATAATGAAGAAAATAAAACTCATCCATGATCCCACCCCCTTATTATGGTAGCGTACTTCCTTTCTTCTTTTTCCATGCACAGATAACCAAAACATACCATTCTGCAAAAACAAGATTTGCTTGCCTTCCATTTCACTTACTTTACTCATTAAATCAAATATGAGCACATTTTAGTAAATACTTGATTTTTTTTCTTGCTTTTCTCATTTAACAGTTTACTCCAAACATCAGAAAAAAAAATCCCCTAATTTTTAAAACAATACATGTACTTTGTAGAAAATGTGCATTTTTGTGCATTACTGCTTCCCATGCCAGGGAAGGCCCAGGATGGGCGAGCATCTTAGAGTAGAGCTCAGCCTATTCCTGCAAGCTGTGAACAGGCTCCTCGCGCTCCAGCATGGTCCTCGCTCCTGTACCTTTGGCTACCAAATCCGTCCTCCAGTTCTCAGCCCTCCCGTTCGCTTCCCTGTCCTCACTGATCTGTGATGCCTCATTGGCTTACTGGACTGGGGAGTGACAAAGTGGCTTCTAAGCTTGTCACCAACTTGCTCCTTGACTTGAGCAAGTTAATTGCCTTCTCCAGGCCTGAGTTTGCCCATCTGCAAAATGAATACCAGCTTCTTTTCATCCTTTCCCTCGTCCTTCTCCAGGGTAAATATTTGCACTGACCTCCTGCCCCATTTTCCATGTTACTGTAATGTGCTGAATATGACCTTGGAGGCAGGCAGAGCTGGGCTTGAATCCCATTCCCAGCTGTGGGACCTAGGATGAGTGACTTTACTTCTGAATCTCAGTTTCACCTTTACAGGGAGGCCAGTGACTGTGGGGTACCAGAGTTTCGTACATTGTAGTATATGGTAGTTTCAGAGATTCTAAGAGGAACCAAGCTTCAAGCTGCTTCCTACTTTCTGCCTTTTCTTGCCCTTTCTTCCTCCTTCTATAGTGTGGGGGTAGGAGAGAGGAGCTCCTTTTGGGAGCAGAGAGTGAGTAATGCTGTTGGGGCCTTTCCATCCAGATATGATGACTATGACTATGGGGAGGTGAACCAGCTCCTGGAGCGGAACCTCAAGGTCTATATCAAGACAGTGGCCTGCTACCCAGAGAAGACCACCCGAAGAATGTACAACCTCTTCTGGAGGCACTTCCGCCACTCAGAGAAGGTATGGGCCTGTGGGGGAGGAGAGGGTTCTGGCCTCAGTGAGGTAGCCCAGACTGAGCCTCTTCTGCCAGGTGTGACACCTGGGGGTATTGTCCTAGGTTCAAGTTCTACCCTATTGTGTGATTTCAGACTACTCACCTACAAAATGGGAATGTGCTTCACGGGGTCCTCAGTGGCTGCCAGGAGGACATGGGTTCAAATCATAGCGGTCACTATCACTCACTAGCAAGGTGACCTTGAAGTCACTTTACCTCTCTGAGCTTGTTACATTTACAGTAGGAATAAATACTGCCTGCATTTCAAGGTCCCTGGGAGAATGAAATGGGAAAATGAATATAAATCTCTTGTCCCAAATAGGTGCTATGGGGTAGCTTTTTTTTTTAGCTTTGGGAGTTAGAGATTAGTCATGATAGAGATGAATGGGCTTAAAATTCTTCAGCAGTCTTTGCCCCAAAGTGCTCAGAGCCTTAGGAAAGGGAAGGATAGTTAAATGGTCAGGGGTAAAGGCAGCCTGGGAGATGTGGGGATGGTGAGATGTGTCATCAGTTGCCAACAAGCCCTTGTCTGTGCCTCAGGTCCATGTGAACTTGCTGCTTCTGGAGGCCCGCATGCAAGCCGCCCTGCTCTACGCCCTCCGTGCCATCACCCGCTACATGACCTGACTCCTACACAGGACCTGGGCCTGGAGCAGCTGACTGGGGGCATTCTCCCCCCTGCAAGGACTTCTCTGTCTGGATACAGACCCCAATCCCTCTCTGTCCCATGCCCACCCACCCTACTCTGGAGGTGGACTTGTGTATGACATGCAGCCCCCAAGCCATACCCTCCTTTCCCTCACTGTAATGGACAGGATCATTGCACTGTCTGGGATCTCAGCTCTGCCCCTTGGGAGCTGGAAGAGGACTGGAAGATCCCAAGGGATTGTGCCCTTCTTCCTGCCCCTGCCCCCAGAGGCAGAGGGCACAGGAAGGAAATGGGCTGAACTTGGACTTGTGTGCCAGCAGGCTGGGCCCCAGGCACTGCAAGTACTATGGCTTTCCAGGCCTGGTCCCTGGCTGGCCCCTGAGGGAAGGGGGGCAAACACCTGCAAGGATCAACACTCCAAGCGACTTGGCCTCTTTCCTCCTCCTCCCTCATTCTCGGACTTCATTACCTCTCACCTGCCATTCACCCATCAATGTGAAAGTCAGGGCCACAGCTGGTCTGTGTGTCTGGCTCCCCAAAAGCCTGTTTGGTGGACAGCCTGAAGGCCCCTTGTTCCCTGGCTGCCCCAATCCTAGTTCAGTTCCTTTGACTTCTTCACCCTCTTACCCTTTCTCCAGTGCCTGGTGGCATGAGGCCCCATGAGAGAGACCAAAAACACCAAAAAAAGTAGGTTATTTCTGGAGAGTTTGGAGTCTTGCCTTCTGAAGAGAACGGAGATTATATTATAAATTCTCTGTATTTTGGTTCTCTGTGGGTGAGGTCTACAGGGCTTCACTCCTGAACCACAGTCAATTCCTGAGAAGAGGAGGACAGAGAAATCTGTTCTCCCCAGAACCGCAGTGCCCCGCAGAGGCTGACACTCTCCTATCATCCATGGCTCTGCTGGCAAACGTTTGCTTAAGAAGTTGAGCCTTTCTAGCCCCCAGCACGTGGCTCGGGGAGAGGTGGGAGACCACGGGGTTCTTGTTTAGGTCCTGCCACAGGCCAGGTGACCAAACTTCGACCTCCCTTTCTGCAGTGGCTGAATGAGGGATGGGACAAAGTTTCTGCAATGTCCAAGTTTTTCTTCTGGGATTCTTAGGCTAGCCCACCAGCAGTCAACTGCAAATCTTGCAGAATCTCAAAGGCCTCTGAGGACCCCCCTCTTGCAGTCAGTCTCTCCTGGCTACCTTGTAAAGACACCCCATCCCAGTTTCTGTCTCTGATTTTAGGTGGGTTGCTTGGACACAGAAGCAGCCAAGAAGTAATCCCATACTTTCTGTAACAAACAAGCTGTGAATTATGACTCCCCTTGCCCTTCCTGGCAGTATATGCCTCCTCTGACCAGTCTGGGGGTGGACGGAAGACAGGCAAGGGGCCGTGCTGCTGCCACTTCTGACCCTCCTCCCTGGAGTGGGGCAGGGGAGGAGCCTGGTCAGTGCCACATTTCACACCCGTGCAGGCATGGGCAAGCAACTGGCACTCCCCAGGCCTCAAAGCCCTCCCTGCAATGAAGCTGGGTAGAAGGGGAGAGGCCCCAGCATTGGGTTTGGGTTCTAAAGGGGACATGAGTGTACACAATGGTCCCCTGGTGGGTGGGTAGGGATATCCTGTGTTCAAGTGCAGAAATCTTTGGCTTTGCTGCCAGTTACATATGATCAGAAATAAAAGTTCTCTGAGGTTTTGTTTCGTATTTCTTGTTAATGGACTGTTTTTCCATTTTTTAAAGATCACAGTTCATAAGCTATAATTGCATCATGGACCTGATCCGCTAGCCCCCACCCAGCTGGGCACTCGTGCTCTGTTGCTGCAGGGTTGGGAGTGGTTGGCATTGAAGTCTACTTCTGTCCCTTGGTGTCCAGCCCTGCCACCCATCTGTGGCAGGCCTGGCATTGTGGAGTAATAACAGCCATGTTATTTTCCTCACTAAGCCTGGTGCTGGGCTGGGTACTTGGAGGCCATGTCTCGAAATCTAGTAATCCTGCAAGAGAATTGAGACTCAGAGATAAACTTGGCTGAAATCACATAGGTAGTCAGTGGGGAAGCTGGGATTCCAACCAGGATCTATTTGCCCTTCAGGTCTTGGCATTTCCCCTTGCTGTTTTCCCCACTACTGGGCTCCCTCTGGCAGAGGAAGGCTGTTTGAGAATCCCTAGAGGTCCCCCTTGTTTCCCTTGCCCTACCACATTATGCCTACCTGCTTCTCATCCCTCTTATGCTTACAGAACCTGGCATAAGGATTTTGACGTGACCTCCAAGATGTGCCAGTGCCATTTAGCTGCGTGACCTTGGCCAATCTCATTAGCCTCTCTGGGCACCAGGTACTCTAGCAATCTTGTCAGGAAGATGACATTATGACTGAGTGATGACCTCTCCTGCTGACTTCCTACTTCTAAACATTGCTATCGTAAGATGAAAAGTAGGCCTCCAGGAAGCCTCCCCTGATTGACTCCATGTCCCCGATTCACTACACCCTCCTCATTTTTGCAGTGTTCAGATACAGTTCTTTCTAGAGTCATTTGAGAGGGTGTGAGAGAATGCAAATCAGACTTGGATTACAAAACTTGGATTCTGATCCTGATTTAGTCACTTATTACCTCTGGGTAGGGGGAGGGTTGATTAAATGATGCCTCAAATTTCCTTTGCCAAGGATTTCTTTTCTGCATTGAGTGTTACCAGATGTTGCCATTTTAATCTCAATCCTCACAGCAACCCTGTGAAGAAGAAAAGTAGTAGTGTTCCCATTTTTCAGATGTGGAAAAGGAACCTCAAGTGGCAGTTCAGGGGACACCAACTTAACAGATCCAGGGTCAAATTCCAGCTTGGACATTTAATGCCTATCTAATCATAGCAAATTATTTCAATTCTTCCTCCTCAATTTCCTTACCTATGCACTGGAATTAATACCTAAGGTCACAGGAGGGTTGTATGGATTAAATAATGCCAGAAAACCACCTAGCACAGTTCAGGAAGTTCACCTAGCACTAGCAAGCCATTCTGTATTCAGGTACCTGCTCAAGGTTACAAATGAGGTAGGATTTGAACCCTTGTCTGATTCCAGGGCTCTGCTTTTATCCCCAGACTCCCAATGCCCTCATCTGCATTTTTTAAAAGTCATGTCCAACTCAATTTGCCCATGGAACTGAATGCTCTTGGATCCAGATTGGATCTAATGAATCTGTTTTGGGTTTCTGCTGCCTGCCACCCAGCACCTGGGCATGGCTACCCAGCTGGAGTTTGTGCAGGATTGCTGGTGACTTGGTTCTTTCTATGTCTGGCTTTTGAAACTATGCTTGGATTGAGGACTGCTGAGAGTGGATGGAAATGGGAGCTGGGTGAGTTCCCTCCAGCAGGTTTCAAACATTCACCAGAGTCCTAGGACAAGTGGAATGAAGTGGTTCACAAATTTTTGTGCCTCAGAATCTCCCAGAGGACCAGTGTTTGGAGGAAGAGCTCAGAAATGTGCATCTCTAACAGCTTCCCCAGTGTTCTGATATGAAGATCATTCTTCCATTCAACAGATATTGTGCACCTAACATGTAAATGTTCTGGACACAGGGCAGTGAACAAGACAGGCACAGTGGTTGTCCTCTTGAGATTTATTGTCTAGTGGAGGAGACAGACATTACATCATTATGCAACTAATTATTTAAATTATAACTGTGGTCGGCACCTCAGTGGAACAACACAAGGTACTGTAAGAGCATTTACAACTTAGCAGCAGAGCCTTTTCTTCCAAGGAAATATGGAAGAAAAGTCCAAGGGAAGTTGGACTTTTGCAGGAAATAAAACACATCTAAGAAAGGCAGTTTCCCACCTGCTGAAGCACCTTCTTGGCACCCCAGGGCCTCATGCCTTCTAACACAACCCCACTCCACTGGGAGTGCTGGTTGCTGAAGGATCGCAGCCGAGTCCCTGTCTGGGAACTGCCCTGGATTGAAAACAGCTACCTTGCTCCTGGTTATGGCCCCTCCAGGCAGTTTAGTCTGCCTCCCATGACTGGTTGACAGAGGAAGAGTGTGCAAAGGCCTGGCCCTTTTGCTTCCTGGCCCTTTTGAAACAACTCTGAGGCATCAGCCTAGCTTTAGTGCTCCCCTTAAGATCAGCTGAGGCCAATGTTGCAGTTGCACTACAGCCCAGCTTCTGCCCCCTCCTGCTTCTTGCGGTCCTTTGATACTGATCCATGGTAAACCTCCTGTAGGCAGATTTCCATCTCAGAGTCTGCTACCAAGGTACTTGACCTAAGACACTTTCATGAGAGATGGTGAAAATAAAGACCAGATTGGGTAAATGACTTCCTTGAGGTTTCACAAGCCTGAGCCTTCAGATCCTCTTCACAGTTTGTCATCACCCTGTGTCGACTTGCTCTTCCTGAGGTGCAAAACAACAGCTGCAGTGCTGAAGGGGCCAGATTAGTTTCTCACTCGCATCCCCACTTCCATGGCTGGAGCCCTTGCTCAAGCTGCTCCCGCCCTCTGGGGAGAAGGTCACTGAGTAGTCCATCTTCTCTCAAGTCTGCCTGCGTATGAGGCCCCTGTGTATGGGACAGAGAAAAAACCCTGTCTCAGCTGATTATAGTTGCAGAAATTCTTCCCCATCCTGTCTGGATCACCTCCGACCCCACTGTTGGTTCCTGTTGGAAGAAACTTGCCATCTGTCCCAATTCTGAGTATCTAAAGGAGGAGCCCTCTTTGCTTTGGTTATGCCAACATTATCAAGTGCTTACGTTATCCCAGATACTGCTAGATGCCGGCAGTATAGCAGTGAATGAGACAGACACGGTCCTGGCCCTCATGGGCCTTAACATCTAGCGGAAAAGACAAACATCACACAAATACCTGTGATGAATCCTGAGGGAATAAAAAGCACAGGGAGCTATGAGAGAGTACGCTCAGTGGGGGAGTTCCAGAGAAATACCCTGGACATGAAGGATAAAGGACTGGCCAAGGATGGGGAGCAGAAAGGAATGTGGAATCAAGGTTTCTGGCAGAGGAAGCAGCATGGAGAAGATTTGGAGGAGGAAGGAGAAGGCCACCTGCTAGGGACAGAGGGAACAGAGAGAATGTGAAGAAATGTGAGGCAAAGAAGGAAGCCCAGGGCAGACCTGGCACAGCCTTGTAAGGTTCATTAAGAATTTTGGACTTTACCCTATGCACAACGGGAAGTCTTCAAAGGAGATGTTGTTTATCACAAAATAAATGCTCTGGACAAAAGGTCTGTGTCCCCCTCAAATTCCTGTGTTGAAACCCTGATCCGTAATGTGATGGTAGTGGGGATGGGGCCTTTGGGAAGTGACAATTCATGAGGATGGAGCCCTCATGATGGGATTAGCACCCTTAGACAAGAGGGTGCTCTCTTTCCTCTTTCTCTCTCCCTCTCTCTGTCTCTCTGTCTCTGTCTCTTTCTGCCATGACAGGACATACATAACCAGAATGAGGGTTTCTCATCAAGAACCAAATTGGCTGGACTTCCAGCCTCCAGAACTGCAAGAAATCAATGTCAGTCGCTAAGCCATTCAGTCGGAGGTATTTTTGCTATGGCAGCCCAAATGAACCAAGACAATAGGTAATATTTATTAGAAGAAGGAATAGAAGAAATAGAAGACTTCTTTATGACTGCCTGTGTGCCTGGTACTCCACTAAGTCCTTCACAGGCATGTGCTCACAGCAGCCCTATGAAGTCGATTTAATCCTCACAGCAGCCCTATGTAGCAGAGTCTATTATAATCTCCATTTACAGATACATAACTGAACCCAGACTCAAAAGTCCCTCGTCCAAAAAGATTCCCCTGGCTTCCCATTTCTACTCTCAGTGTACATCTTCCTTTTTTGAACTAAGCTTACAAAGTGCTTCTGTTTTCCAAGGCATTTTTTTCTGTCTAATTTGTGTGGCTTGCTCATCTTCCCATTCTGTCACTAGCCCTGTGAAGGCAGAGGTTTTTATCTAGCACATTTATTGCTTTATCTTCAGAGCTTAGAGCAGGACATAGATGTCACAGGGACTGAATAAATAAAATAGGTATGGAATATATGTTTCTATTCCACCAGGATGCCTGGTCTAGCATTGGATCCAGGTGGCAGTGTTCCAGAAAAAACAGCCTCCCCACGTTTCGGACTTGGCCTCTGGTCTGGCTGTCTTTCCCTGGC